AGTCTTTTGAGGAACCTTGAAATTTTTTAGATTAAGTAAATTATTGGAGAAACAATTTCGAATAGGAAACCCCCTAAATAAGAACAAATTAATTAGACTATAGATATCATTCCCTTATGTGAATTTGTGAGACTTAATATGAGAGTGATTTACAAATTATGTAGAAAAGGATTTTATTGATACTGCATTGGGTGCACATGGGGCCGTCGAGTGCAAAAGCAATAAAGTGCTCTTTGCGATGGTCACACCATGTGAAAGCCACATAATGATTGCAGCTTTATTGACGCCGAGTGCAAGCTTGGTCACGTTGGGTGCAATAACTTCTGGGGCTCTCTATTGTAAATTTTTCAGGCATGGGGAGAGTCACGTCGGACGTGATTCTTCCAAAGGCTTGCAACCTCAATCGTGTCAAGTACAAGATACCCCACATTGAACTTTGTCCTATGCATGTAACTGAAAAATGGTTAATTGATTAATTAATGAGATTAATCTTGATTAATAAGCCTTGTGAATTAATTGAATGATATAAATGAATTATGTGTGTAGTGTGGAAAAATGTGAAAGTATGTAATGATAATGTGAACCCTTGAGATATGTGATATGTGACAAAAGTTTAAGTGATCATGTGATTAAGTCTACGTATATATTAGTAGTTTGAAAGTTTGGGTGAATGACCTAGCAGTGATGTGACTCATATAATGCGAAATCGTGTAAATGTGAGCTGTGAATGTGAATTATAAGACATGCATAGAGTTTGTATAACATGCATCATTTGCATTATGTGCTTTTGTGATAAGTATGATGTGAAATACGCTGCTTGGGAAGGTTCCCATTATGTAAAAGTTTGGAGATTCATGACCTTGGAGATAATTAGGTTTGGGAGCCCTAGACTTGCCATGTTGTGTGCATGGGGTAAAACTCAGCCAATATAACTATCCCAATGCACCATTGATATATTTTCTCCTAGTACAAAGTGTTGTGATGGTTTAACTCGACATGATCTCCTAGGCTACTCAACCTTCGAGCAAAGATTAAATGATTTTTACTAATGCCACATGCATATAGTTTTAGGGAGAGTCTTGTCCTTGCATGAACATAACATACCCATTGTGTTTCGATTATGAAATTGTTATATGCTAAGATGTGATGTATGATAATTCCATAGAATGTGACTTGATGAATATTGCATTGATTACTATAAGTTATGCATGGAATAATTGCTAATGAATCATATGTGTAACTACTCTTATACACCGAAATAAAAGGGATCCAGAGATTTATACAAGTGTGAGATTGTATAGTTGAGGATGACTTAAAGAAATTAATTTGTACTACTTGTACCAACAAAATGCATCTATTTTTTGATAACTCATCACAAAAGAACTTCATAGTTAAGCGTACTTGATTATAAGCAATTTAGGGATGAGTGATCTTCTAAGAAGTTTCTTAAAAGGTGTGTGAGTGAGGACAAAACACGTTAAAAAGTCTTATATTGGTTTGTGGGATCATTCGTTGATCCTAAAAGCATACGGCATCTAAAAAAGGGCTACTTACAAAGAGTTCTAACTAGTGAATGGTTTTGACCAATAAAGAGTTTGTGAAGTGTCACCGTGTGAAGTGTCGTGAAGTGAAAATATTGAGAAATCAAATATGAGGGGCCTTAAAATATGTGTTAATATTATATCTATTGTATGTGTGACTACCCGGTCATTTCCTACACTAGTAGCTAGAGTGAGATGTTTCTCACTTCCTTTTTCTTTTGTTATTTTGCTTTGTTGTGTTTGTGCATGGAGGAGTTTAAGTTTTATGCCGAGAATGCTCTGATAAGATGTAACATTGGGGTTGCATTAGGGACTTGGTTTCTTTCCTTAGAAAATGTTTCTACATTAGTTGATATTCTTTGTAATTGCTTTTAGATTTAGTCTTGTTATTTTGGAGATTTGAATGTGACATATTTATCCTTAACTTTTTATTTAATTAATAAAATTTTTAAGACTATTTTTTTTATATAATTAAATTTATGTATGAGGGATAGAGGGTTTAGGGTTTAGGACTTTTATTTATAAATGTAATTGTTGATTTTGGATCAATAAATTCATGGTAATTATTATCTTGTATTGATTATTTATGATTTATATTTTTTCTTGGTTAATAAAAGTTTTGCATCAATAGTAACTAATTATAAAATTAAAATTAATAACAAACAAAAAAAAGACACTAAACTGACCCACATTTATTATAAAACTTGAACAAAATATCATTCATTGTCTTCATAGTGCCACAATATTAAGACAAAGAAACCATTGTGACCATAATTACACGTACACTCATTTTTTTATTCATCATATTACTTATAACATAGCATGTTATTATTTTAATATTATAATTTTTATGTTGTTTTTTAATTTATAAATTAAAATAATATAGATTTTTTTTGTCCTACCACAGGTTGCTTCTGACTCATTAGACTAGAAACTAATCTCACTTACTATATTGTGATTGTTCCTGACTTGATAAGTTTTCACACGCGAAAAAAATTAAACACAATTTCTTGCTACATAGATTATCTCCACAATGTATGAAAATGAAGTATTATTATATCAACTCATTTGATTAAAATAATAAAATTCAATATTAAATACAAATTACTTTTCACATAATTATAACACTTAAATAATCAAAAGTTCAATTAAGTCGTATAAAAAATATCATATGTAAAATATTGTATATACAACAAATCAAATAAGTGAAATTTAGACAAAATTCACGCAATTAAAAAAGATGATTAAATTTGTATGTGAGAATTATAAAGGATCCAAAATATAGTTTGGTCCAACTTTTTTTCCTTTACTTCTCCTATACTTTAATTGTTAAAATAATGAGATTAAGGGTCATCTTCATGGTATATGAGATGTGTTGACCTAGAGTGCACTTCAATGTCAGTCAAGGGTGCAACCCTTTGGTGACCTTCTCTTGAATTGTTCTGTCATTGCTTCTAAATATTCTTTTTTTTTTTTTTTTTTTAACTCCCACCTCACGGCAAACAGCACAGTCATTACCACTTTTATAGATCCAGCTTCGTTTGGTTTGGTCTATACGTTTAACTTCTGACCACTGCATTGCGGGTCTTTAGGGCAATGTCTAAACAGTTTCAAAGAAACTTCTATTCCAACTATCATACAATATTCATGAACCGGAAATCACTACAGCAACTCTATGGACCCCGAGCAAGCAGCGACCAAAACAAAAATTCCACCTTGTTAAATAAAGTAAAATGACCATTTGTATTGTTTTCTAGTTCCAAATTATTTTTTTTAAGATGGTATGAAAGCATATATTATAAACTCTTAGTAATTATTAATTATTGTTAGACTTATCAAATCATCTATTTTCAGACCATTATCAAATCACTTTAGATGTTCAATGCTGCGAGCTCCACAACTAACTCTTTTCGTGAGAGAGAATATTTTTTTTTTTGGTTCGTCTGATAGACGTGACTAATCTCAGTGATTAATCTCCTCGCTACGTTAGAGGTACCTCAAAGGGTGAAGAATTTTTTTTTGTTCTTCCCTGGAGTATCTACCATCGATAGCAGTGACTAATCTTCTCGCTACGTTGGAGGCACCTCAAAGGGTGAGATAACTAGCCCCGAGATTTAACGCGGCTGCATACACAAGGCAGGATTCGAACCCCTGACCTTGCTTAAGCGTGGATCAACCCCTACCGCTGAACCACACGCTTGGGGTTTCTTGAGAGAGAATATAACTGAGATCTCATATCAATTAGTGAGATAATTGTAATAATGTTATAAATAAGAAACAATTATCATTGTAATTTGTAAGGGAGAATAATATTGCATTTTAAGATGATTAAATAGTAAGACAGACTTAATGTGATTGTGTCCTTTACCTTGGCCCTCAACTGTCAAAACTTAAGTCGTATGGTATGTTACTAACTAACCTTGATAGCCAGACAGATCAGTATCGACTGGGCTCAAAGAGGTTGCCCTAAATGTTGGAGGGTACACTAACCAAACTTATATATACCTTATTATTAATGGACCATTGGAACCCAAAATAATAAAATTGCATAGATAAGGGAGTGTCGGTAGAGCTGCAACACATGTTTAATTTTACCTGCTTCGGTATATTGTAATGACAACAAGCACTGTGCCACTTGCCACTAAAATGAAGCAAGAAACAATTAACAGTGTAAAGTTTCTACAGGCCTAGACGTTTAAGAAAAGAATACAATTACTTGTGCTTATTTTTAAATGATTGATTCTGCATAGATGAATAGATTCTTTAATTTAGCTTTTGCGTGTTGGGTAGTTCCACTCTTAATTAAAAACCAAATATTTGTCTCTTTTCTTTCAGAGGCTTCTCCTTTTTACATTATGTGATTTACTTCTGATTACTCTCTATATATGGTAGACTTACTGCTTATCTGGATCGATTTATCTAAAAATATAATTACCTTTTTTTTGGTGTATTTTTAAAAAGGATTTTCAGAAACTAGTTCGTTTATAATTGTTTTCCAACATGCTGATAAACTTGGTTATGTCAACTTATTTTATTTTTTTTAAAAAAGATACAATGAATCTAGCACTGTAGAAAGGTACACTTTGATAAGATTATCAATTTTTTGACCAAATTTGAAAAAGAAAAGGGGAAAGGAAAATTTGGAGTCCAAGTGGAGCAAACGAATTTTTTTTTTTTTTTTTGGGTCTGTCTTGCTTGCAGATCAAGTCGCAAGAAAAGAATCTGCAACAAACTATAGTTAGATAGGCATGTGCAAGAAGACACCAAATTCCAACTTCAGATATAATTATAAAAAATATCTTTAAACTCCTCACTCATCAGCTTATGTGCCAAAAGTAAACAAGATACCCCCTTTTTCCAAATAAGATTTGGACCCCATTTTTCCAAGTAATTTAGCTACTCCTTTCACAGTATTTGGGCCAATAGAGCAAATAAGAAGAATGAGGGCAATTAAAAGTGATATGAGATGGGAGGCCTTTCTCCATGATGTTTACCATTAATGGGAGGTGGCAGATATCTTTCAAAACAACTCCATTGACCCTAATATCAGTGAAATAAACCCTGCCAGGAATTCAGATCAGTAAATATTCAGAATCCAGATGCCAAATATGTTATTTACAAAGATATCTCATCACAAGTTCACAACCATCCATATCAATAGCCGCATCTCTTATCACTTCACAGAATCTTCTCCTGTAAGAAACATTATTGGTAATAGCATTGAGTAGTTGGGAATATCTTTAGTGAAATCACAGCCACGAGTGGTAGGACTCGGATGAGAGGATGGTTGCTATCACCAAATAATTTGGCAATGGTTCAATGATTAACGTTGCTATTCTAAGTATGTTCCAACCAAAATTTGACTTCCAATGGAAGTTGCTTCTGATTAATTCATATTTTACTAGACACAACATGACATTTCTGTTGGCTAGGCATGCAAACTAAGAAACACCCCCTTGTCTTCTCATTAGGTTTAGCTAACTTGAAAGTTCTAAAACACTCTAATCAGATTCTCAACAGTCTTTTTCACTCAACTCACTAATTTGACTTCAATACTCATACCAAAGATACCCCACACACATCAGATATTTCCATTCCCCCTTCTTTGGGGTTCTAACTTTCCAATTTAGATACATTTGATGAAAATTAGCTAAATTGAATACAACAACTTCAGCAACACAATCACATATCCATAGAACCATCAAAACAAACCAGCTTGTAAGTGGTAGTAAAATTAATGAATCAGCAAGAGCATACACTGGAATTTACATGACATCATAAAACAGATATGCACTACACATCTCAGTAAGTGACATTTCAAACTCGGTCAACACTCTCTCCTCTGTACTAGCGTGTTTGAAAACTCGTTGATAAGTTGGAAATCACATCTGATATGCAGAAACTATAAGTGTATTTGGATTCTAATCAAAGATCCACATTTTATCATTTGTTTTTTTCATGTCAAAACGCACCAAAAACAACTAATAGTAGCTTCTCTGATCCATGATTGAGGTGTGTAAGCACTATAAGTATTAACTTATCAGTAAACATGAAAAACCACGTCTTGAAACCAGGACCAAATCACCACTAAGATAGGCACCATGATGACCACCACTACCCTTCAACCCTAAACGTGAAACCAAACACGCAAGTAATAATTCCTACTCTAAGCCAAAAAAACAGAAAAGGAGATTAAGATTAAGATTAAGACACTTTACCAAACCATGCTTGATTTTGCAAAAACCAGCATGATTATGCAAACCCCATGTGACAACAACCTCCCAAACCCCCCCAAAAAAACAACCACCCCACCAAATCAACCACTCACGACTCAACAGTCCCTTCCCCTTGAGTACCATACCTCCCAAAAAGAACAAAATACCCCAAAACAGCACAAACCGCAGCCACAAAGTTGCCTTCTTTCAACAAAATCCTCACCACAAACCCAAAAATTTCCCGAGTGATCTTCCTCCCCTCCACCACCAGGGTCCTCCTAGGCTTCCCAAAGAAGGCCAAAAGCACCACGACGGTGATCCACGTCACCACCACCGCGGGAACCATAACCACCAACGCTGCCACCATGGATAGTGCCCCAAACACGGTGCCCAGAAGCACCGAGGCGTAGAGTGCGGGCCACGCCGAAGTTGAGGACTGAACTTGGAGGTTGTACCATGAAAGCGTGGATTTGAGGAAGTTCCATGAAGAGGCCAAAAGGGTACCGTAAACTAAGAGAAAGAGACATGCCCATGTTCTTCTTTTGCTCATGATGTTTAGGACTAAGGTGTATGAAGGAGGTGGATGCATCGGTGAAGTGGGTTCTTCTTCTTTTGTCATTCGCAACAACAAGCTCCAATTTTGACCTTGCTGGTCTTTGCTTCGGACAGTGACTCGGCGTGGTTCACTCTCTCTGCTCTGATTTTCGCTAATCCTTAAAATTATGGTCATTCTTTCGGTCTTATGTTATCCATCTCTGTCTTTGGTTAGTAAAATAAAATAAAAACATTAAAACTTAAATATGTTTTTATTCTTTAAATTTGAGATAAATTTGTTTTTATTTTTTAATTTAAAATTAATTTTTTAATATCTGAAAAATCAACAAATAAAAAAATCATATTCATGATTACAAATAACATTACTGATAATGAAAAATTGAGCTAATTATTTATCATCAATTAAATTTAATAAGATGGTTTTTAATAATAAAGATACTAATAATAGTAACAAGTGAATTTTATATGAGTGAGAGTTTTAATAATAAGTGAATTTTAATTGAGAGATTTGATAAATTATAATATTTGAGTAGAGAATCTAAAATAAAAATTTTCAAATTATGAGATTAAAAATTAATTTTAAATTTAGGAGTTAAAAATAAATTTATCAAATATTTGATTTGGATGAATAAAAATATATTTAATCTTTAATTTTGTTATTTGATAAGAGATACGAGTATTACTATCTTACCATATATTGATATTTAATATAACAATATGCCCATATTAAAAAGTATTTAATATTATTATATTTAGATACAAATATTTTTATCTAATATATCATTATTAATTCGTGATAAATTAAATAAATTATTAAATTATCTGAAAATTTCTAAATAGGTTTTTAAACTTTTTATTTGGATTCTTGAATATGTAAATTTATTTAAATTCTCTAAAATTTTAAATCAATCACAAATTATTATTTTCTAGTGATTTCATGAAGAAAAAATTAACTAACTACATGAAACTTTTCTTTTTCCTAACAGACATTATTAAGAATTAGTTTAGGAAACTATTTCAAACTTTATTAATAATTCAATGGTATACTACGTATTTTTATTTTAGAAATAACATATATTTGTTATTAGAGACATTTTTGTTCAACTTGAATAACATTATTATCGATAATAAGATTTTTTTTTTTATTTAAGTATTTGACACAACTACATATTTAGAATTCATATTTGAAGTTATTGATTAAACCAAAACAATCTCAATATTAGTTGATTCACATACCTATAAAATTTATAAGGTATAAATAATTTAAAAAATAAAATATCAATAAATATGAAACAAATATAATAAAGAATAATGAGAAAGAAACTTGATTGAAACATTAAAGAAAAATATATATTCTTAAAATTTCCTAAATACTCTAAAGCTGAATTTCGTGTTTTTTATTTAGTGAAAGAAATCATTCTTTTGTTGTTTTCATTCAACTTTTACTTTTTAATTATCTAGTATAGAACTTAAAATGAGTCAAGTTTGATTTAACTCATCTCGATAATATTTGACTTATCTTACACTTTGACTCGAATTCAACAATTTTTTTTTCAATTTGAATTTGACTCAATTCAAGCTTACTAGCCGTTCGATTCATTAGCTTGAATCACATGAATTAAGAATCAATTTTTTTTAATTTTATACATTTTAAAATTTCAATTTAATAATTAATTTTAGATAAAATAATTGTTTAATTTTTTAAAAGATAAAACATAACTTGTTTTATTAATTTTGTAAGGTTACATAGTATGAATCCAAAGAAACATAATTATAACTAAAATTTGTGTAAATAAAAAAATATTTTACTTTACATAAAATAATAGAAAACTCAGATCATGATTATGAAATTTTAAAGTATTCACTTATTTTATTATTACTAGTGGAGTCAATATAGTATGTGCCTCTATATTTATTTAAAAGTGTTTCAAAATTACCAATATTTGTTAAATCATTAATGTTGTGTCTACTCCTTAAACCTCAAAATTTTGGATTCGAGTCTTAGATTTGTAAGAATAGTTAATTTTAATATTATTTTATTATTTAAAAATCTAAGAATAAAACAATCCAAAAATTGCATACACGAAAATATGGAACCACTTTTATATATAGATATAGATTATCTTATAATTTAGTTTTGAAGGTTTTTCAAATTTTATTAAATTGAAATTAAATACAAAATTAATTATATAAATTATATATTTATATATTGAACCAATTTATAAACGGAACAAGTCAAATTGTATACAACTCAAATTTATTTTATTTATTTATTAAGTTGAATCTATAGCTTAAGTTTAATTTATTTAATTTATGAACCAAATCTAACAAATTAATTATTAATTAAATTTCTACCTATTTTCGAGTTCATACATACCGTGTGTGGCTGATTTGGGCTTTAAAATGTGGGCTGGAATCAACCGTTCACGCATGGACTATTAACTTTTTCATTCCTATCAACCATTTCATAAATAATGTTGAATTGGTAACGGTAAGTGCTAAAAAAAAAAAAAAACCAATGACTAAAAGCAAAATAACATGAACAAAAAAACAAGTTAATTAGGCCATTTTAGTGGTTTTTAAATTCGGCGGTGCTTACAACATTTGAGACTCTTTCTCCCATGCATCTATTATCATATTCCATCCGGCATTAAAAATATATTATATAATTTTTAAGAAAAATTCTTCGAGCCATAAAAAATTAATATGCTCAAACTAAATAAAAGTTCAAAATTTAATTAAAATAGTGTAACATTGTGAGTTTTAATAATGTTATATTACTTGTAATTGTTTTATGTTATTAAGTTGAATTGTTATTGTTGAGAGACTCGGGAGGTTAATGATCCCTTTTGAACTTCAATGATGTCGAGAGGGGGTTTTTTGGGCAAACACCCACTTTGATCTTAGAGGGAAAAATATAAAGTTTTTGTTTTGAATAAAACCTCATAAACTCATTTTCTTTAGCTTTCTAGAAAGAGAATTCTAGAGAAAAGGTATCTAGTTTGTAAGTTTTTTTTACTCTAAATCTTCTTATCTTATTCTTCCAATTCTTTTTCTAAGTTGTGTCGTTGTGATTTAGGTGGTGGAGACCTTGAATCAGGCCACTAATCTCATGCGGAGTTTCATTCTCTTCTTCTTTCTTCTACCTCGGCTTTGAGCTATCCAAGGTAAGGGAAGCTAGATTCTTACTTTTGTGGAGATGTTGAAGATTATGTTTGTTATATGTTGCACGAATTCATTTTAATTCGTGGCTGAATGTGGATTAAATAAGAGAGTGTTGTCTGTTGAAAGTTGGGGTTTGGGTTCTTGGTGAAGATTGTGATAATTGATGATGTTTTGTGGTAGCATGTTGAATCTAAGTGTACATAAATTTTGATTTTGATGTGTATAGTTTTTGTTTAATATTGCATGTGTTGGATTCTTGTTACATTGTAGGTTTTTAGATCAAAATTAGATCCTGCACATGTAGAATTTTGATACCATGTTAGGTGTGCCTTCAAAGCGCCGGGTGTCGTTCTAACTCGAGGCTCTCTATCTCAATCACGTCGAGCATAAGATTGGTGGCATCAAGCATGAGGAGAAAGACTCATCTCTAGTTGGAATTACGTCGGGCATGGTTGCATGGCGTTAGGCGTGGAAGCCTTAAGAGCTCTTTAACTTGGTGATGTCGGGCCCAAAGTTGGCGCCCAAGGTGGCCAAGCCAGAGCTCTTTGTTTGGATTTTATTGAGTGTCGAGATGGTGACGTTAGATGAGACTCAAACAGAGACTCTCTGCCTAAAATGGGGTTGGACATGGTGTTTTATTACGCCATGTGTGAGGTTTTAGGGGCCTCTACCTTAGCCACGTCAGGCCCAAGTTGTGTAGTGTTGGACATGGACAAGGTAGAGAACTCCCTACCTAGATGATGTTGGGTGCAAGGTGAGTAACGTCAGACGTGAGTTGCTGAAGGAAAACATGATGATATGGTTGATGAAGTGTTGATTCCTTAATGATTTAAGTTGTTGTATGATAATATGATGAATGAGTTGTAGAGATGACGTAGTATGTGATGATTTAGTTGTGAGTTGTGTGTTGATAGAGAGGTATTATCTGTATAGTTGTGTTGAATATACAATGTGTTGTTGAGATGTTTGTTGATTATAGAGTTGAATATAAGTTGTGATGATTGTGATGTGAGATGTAAAATTGTGTATTGATTTTGTTACTGTGTTGAAATTATATTGTGTTATTATGTTGTTAAGTTGTTGATCATTTAGAAATAGAAGAGATGTTTTCAAAAGTTTCATATCCCATTGTGTGAATATTGTACTGTGGTGCTCTAAAAGCCCAAATTTATTGAAAATCCTTCTTGGAAAGTTGACCCTTGAAGTGGATGTTGTATAGTTTCTCCTCTAGAACTTTGTTGATACTGTGTGTGAGCAAGGTCGAGGCGCACATATATGAAGTGACTACAATATAGGGGTCAGATCGAGTTATATTAATTACAAGTGACCAAACAAGTAAAGTACGAAGTCGAGAACTTAGTTCCTATTCAAGTATTGAAAGGTTGTAGTATTTGAAGGGTAGTCGGTGAGCTAATCCTATAGGAGGCTTGGTTAAACTAACTAATGTCATGGTAGGCTCATACCAACTGTTCTATCCTGACATTAGTATTATACTTCCTTGTTAAGTGGCAACATTCGAGAAATTGATTTGTTGTGTTGTGGATTTATATCCAACTTAATTGTTGATCTAACAAACCCAAAAAGATCACCTTGCTTTATCAGTTTGGTAGGATCAAACCACTTAAACTGCTCACATTGTGTTGTAGGAGATTTCCTAGTTAAAATGCATAATGACAAATATAATTATTGTGTTGAGCATATAATGTGTTGAGTTGACTGTGTTGTTTATATCTTATGTTTAACTGAGATGACTTGTGATGTTGTGTTGAATCATAGTTGTATTATTATGTTGATTTGTATTGTGTACTATGTTGTTATGTCGCTATATGGTTAAAGATAAGATGATGATGTGATGTTTTCGTGATGTATTTATGTTGTTTCTTTTTTATCATAGCTTACCCTTGCATGTTTCCATGTGGTGTGAACTGTGATGGTCATATGTGGTATAGGAGTAAGACAGGGATATGGATGGAGTGTTGCAATGAAGGCCATACAATGGTGTTGGAGCTGAATGTTTTGATGACTACCTAT